AGATTCCTTTTTCGATTAAATTTATACCATCTTCGCCGCCTTAACGATGCTCGGAACAGAAAAGATCGCCGCATCGGGATCTGAATTTGATCAACCCGACTTTTTTCGGCAACCAGAACATCGTTAACGATTTGTTGATCTCTCTTAACCCGATCGATCTCTCTGTTACAAATCACGTCTTTGGTTTAAGATGATCGTATATTAACAGATCTAGCCGATCTCTTCGAGATCGAACTAGAATCAACACCTGCGGAGGCGACAAAGACGATGTGTTGTTCGTCGCCGGATTCGCCGTAACGCCGTCGTTATTGGAGCAGAGAGTCAAGGATTTGAGTACATTAAACTTTTTCTTCCTTCTCCATTCTCTGAGCCATCTCTGTGTTATTTGTCGCCTGTTTTGTAATCGATTTGAAGATAAAAGGGAAGAAAAGAGAGAAAAGGGGAAAGTGTCTGGGGCAAATTTGTCTTCTTTGGACAAAATAGTGGTAAAATTGCAAAGGCATTTGGTCAAGTGGCACGCTTGTAAAGTGGTCTTGGGTTTGTGGCATTTTTACAAATCTTCCTTTGTTAATTTAATTAGTTAAAATTAACCGTTTAACTTTTAATTTGAACGCAATTCTATGTTCTTCACCAAAAATTTGGGTTGGTTTTGGACTCTTTTGGTTCAATTAAATAAAGATATGGAACATTTTGCAGCATTAAAATCTAGGATAAATAGATAATTGTTATAAGATAAATCGAGATTACTAATATCTATTATTATCATCACAAAATAATAATTTATTTTATTACAAATTATATAAGATACATAAATTGCAATTTAGTTTTACTAAAGTTATTTAAGTAAACTAAATAATTTAAAAGCGCATTTAAAAAAAATAAATAAAGATGTATCTTTCAAATTTAGAAACATAAAAGCGGTAGTTTTCCAAATTTTCTCTTAAAAAAATCTACAAACCAAATCCTCCATTTCCAAGAAAAATCAAGTTGGAAAATTCATTAGTTTTTTTTTAATTTTAGTTTAGCAATAAAACCAACATTGTCTAAAGAATTCAAAAAATCTTTTACAAAATTCAATACCTTTAAGAGAAATTTCAAAAAATGCCATTTTTCAAGTGCTATTTTATAAAAATACCACACTTTTGAAATCTTTACAAAAATGCCACATTTTCAAAATTATTTTTTCTTTATATTATTTATATTTGGGTTAATTATGTTCTATTATGGTTTAGTTACGAGGGTTTAGGGGGGTTTAGGGGTCAAAACATTT